GCCTCTAATTCTGACGAACTATTCACAATACGGAACGACTTGACTGCTGGGCGGAGTATTTCAGCGAACAGTTCGGCTGGTTTGGTGCTAACCGGGTTGCTTCATCTGCAACTGAAGCTCCATGGGCAGTGTCATGCCATCCTCCAACAGAAGCAGTTTGGCCTTGCACTCGAGCTCTGAAAGGAGGAAAGGCAGCAGGACCGGATGAGCTCCCTCCCATTCTTTTCGAGATGGGGGTGATAGCCTCGTAAGCTCTGTTACCACCTTACTACGCAACGGTTGGACGCAAGAGCGCATTCATTCATCTTGGGCCGAATCACTGATCATCCCCATTTTCAACAAAGGATCCGCAACTATTGCGAAAACCATCACGGGATAAGTTTGATCCCGACCTCGGTCATACTTCGACTTCTGACGCCTTTGTAGGAGTCCAACATCCGTGAGCAGCAACCTGGATTCCGGCCTGGCCGTGGATATATTGATCAAATTTTTACGTTGCGCCAGGTCCCTGAGCTGCATCACACCCACCGTCGACCAACGCTCGCAGTGTTCCTTGACCTGAAGGGAGCCTTCGAATCACTCTATCGCGGAGCTCAAATGCATACACAAACAAAAATAATTCCATAATGCATCGGTCGTCGCGCAGGATAATCAGGACCGCGCTGCCCATTGCATCGAGCGGGGTGGGTAGTGATAAGTGGACTACTGTTTAGATATCTCACTCTACCTTCCTTACCCAATCCTCTCCCTTTACCCTTTCTTCCAACCCGTAACATTCCCTCAGACAACTTGTACGTCACTCGCCAAAGTTCGTCATCAAGTACTGCTGTAAGTAGAGTGCAGATTCTGAAGCCTCCTCAAACACTGAATCTGGGGGCCTTAAACGTGAAGACTCTTATGCAGGTAGGTCAACAAGCGTGTCTGGCGCGTACAACGGACTCTTTGGGAATTAATGTCTGCTTCGTGTCGGAGACTCGAATCCAGGATCCTAGTACTCTATGCAACTTAAGTGCACCGGGTTGGTCTTTGAGGTTCTTCCTCCGCACGTCACGTGATGACGAAGCCCGTTCAGTAGGCCATCGTGGTGTGGGCATTGTACTCAACAGTACAGCCGATGCAGCACTACTCGTTTGGATCTCCGTCAACAGCCGCTTATGTGCGATGGGTCTCCAAGGGTCTATCAGCGTCCCGGAGGGAAGCAACACTGAAAGGTGTTTATTCATCATTTCAGCGTATGTAACGACCAACTGCAGTTCTGACGCACAAAATGACGAGTTTTATGATAAACTCACCAAAATCAATCGGTTGAGCTGAAGCTCCTATATAGTTGTTCCTTCCGGTGATTTTAACGCTCAAGTTGGAAAGCTGAGCACATCGGAAGCTTGCCTAGGTGGTCATTGTGCTCTGCCCTGCCAGCGAACAGGTAATGGCGATCCACTTCTTCAGTTTTGCGCAGACCATCATTTGTTTCTATCCAGCACCAACTTCCGACACAGCTCTAAGCGGACATCAACGAGGCGCTCAAATCCAACTGGCACGCTAACTCAGATCGACCACATAGTAGTAAGCTACCGTTGGCGTTCAGTTTCAGTTTGAACAACCATTAACCATGCACTTTCGTGCGCCGGTTTTGGTTGCTGTCGTTTGGCTGCCCATTTGGATGAAGAATAGGAGAAGAAAGGAAAGTGGAATCGAAAAGAAAATGGAGAAGTTCAGT